GTTTGAGACCTGCCTGGGCAATATAGTGAGACCATGTTCTCTAGAAAAAGGGGGAAAAAGACAAAAGTAATAAAAATTTAAAAAATTAATTGGGCATTATGGTGCATGCCTGAAGTCACAGATGCTTAGGAGGCTGAGGTGGGAAGGTTACTTGAGCCAGGGAGGTTGAGGCTACAGTGGGCTATGATCATTCTACTGCCCTCCAGCCTATCAGAGTAACAGAATAAGACCCTATCTCAAAAAAAAAAGAAAATGGTATTTTAAAAAATTCCAATTTCTAACTGTTCCTTACTAGTATATAGAAATACAGTAGACTATTGTATATTAATCTTATATTCTATAACTTTGCTAAAATCACTTATTCTAGTAGCTATTAAAAGTATATTCCATCAGATTTTCTTTTCTTTCTTTTTTTTTTTTTTTTTGAGACGGAGTTTCGCTCTTGTTACCCAGGCTGGAGTGCAATGGCACGATCTCGGCTCACCGCAACCTCCGCCTCCTGGGTTCAAGCAATTCTCCTGCCTCCGCCTCCCTAGTAGCTGGGACTACAGGCATGCGCCACCATGCCCAGCTGATTTTTGTATTTTTAGTAGAGACGGGGTTTCACCATGTTGACCAGGATGGTCTCGATCTCTTGACCTCATGATCCACCCGCCTCGGCCTCCCAAAGTGCTGGGATTACAGGCGTGAGCCACTGCGCCCGGCCCAGATTTTCTATATATACGACATGTCACCTGTGAATAAATACAGTTTTATTTCTTCCTTTTCAATCTGAATGCCTTTTTCCCACCAAACACTCTAGTTAGAACCTGCATACGAGGCCGAATAGATGCTATGAGAGTAGACACCCTTGCCTGGTTCCAATCTTGGGGAGAAAACATACAGTTTTCCACATGAAGTATACTGCTAGCTATGGGGTTTTTTTCCCGATGCCCTTTATGAGATGGATATAATTCCCTTCTATTTTTTGTTCAGTGCTTTTATTATGAAAAGGTGCTGGCTTCTCTCAAATGCTTTTTTTTTTTTTTTTGCATTGATTAGGATGATCATATGTTTTTCATATGGTCTGTTAGTATGGTAATTTATATTGCTTGATTTTTGGATGTTAAATCACTCTTGCATTCTTTTTTTCTTTTTGAGACGGAGTTTCGCTCTTGTTACCCAGGCTGGAATGCAATGGTGCGATCTCGGCTCACCGCAACCTCCGCCTCCTGGGTTCAGGCAATTCTCCTGTCTCAGCCTCCTGAGTAGCTGGGATTACAGGCACGTACCACCATGCCCAGCTAATTTTTGTATTTTTAGTAGAGACGGGGTTTCACCTTGTTGACCAGGAAGGTCTCGATCTCTTGACCTCGTGCTGGGATTACAGGCTTGAGCCACCATGCCCGGCCACTCTTGCATTCTTTTGATAAATCTCATGTGTTCATGATGTATTGTCCTTTTAAAATATAAAGAGACATCCAATTTGCTAAAATGTTGTCAAGAATTATTGCATCTATATTCATATAGGTATATTGGTGTATACTTTTCTTGTCTTATAATGTCTTACCTGGTTTTGATATCAGAGTAATGCTGGACCATTCAGTGATTTGGGAGGTATCTCCTTCTCTTCAACTTCCTTGAACAGTTTGTGCAGAATCAGTATTATTTCTATTTTAAATATTTGACCCTGAGGTTTTCTTTCGTTTCATTTCCTTTTTCTTTTTTTTTGAGGCAGGGTCTCACTCTGTCACCCAGACTGGAGTGTGGTGGCCCAATCGTGGTTCATTGCAGCCTTGACCTTCCAGGCTCAAACAATCCTCTCACCTCAGCCTCCCAAGTAGCTAGGATTACAGGCATGCACCACCATGCCTGGCCAAACTTTATGTATTTTTTATAGAGATAAGTTTTCACAGTGTTGTCCAGGCTGATTTCAAACTCCTTGGCTCAAGAGAGCCTCCTGCCTCAGCCTCCCAAAGTGTTAGTATTACAGGTGTGAGCCACTGCAACCTGCCAACCCTGGGGTTTTCTTTGTGGAAAAATGTGTCAGTCTGTTTGCATTGCTATAAAGTAATACCTGAGACTGGATAATTTGTAAAGAAAGGAGACTTATTTGGCTCATGGTTCTGCAGGCTGTACATAAAGCATAGTGCCAGCATCTGGTTCTGATGAGGGCCTCAGGAAGCTTCCAGTCATGGCAGAAGATGAAGCAGTGCCTGTGAGTCACATGGTGAGAGAAAGAGTAAGAGAAAAGGGGAAGGAAGTTCAAGACTCTTTCAAACAACCAGATCTTGTGTGAACTCATAACTGAGAACTCATTACTGGGGAGGATGGCACGAAGGCATTCATGAAGGTTCCATGCTCCAAACACCTCCCATCAGGCCCCGCCCCCAACACTGGGGACTGCATTTCAACACGAGAATTGGAGGAGACAAACATCCAAACTATCTCGGAAGGTTTTTAACTGCATATTTAATTTCTTTAACAGATGAAGGCCTATTCTGGCTATTTCTTCTTGAGTGTTCTGAGATTGTATTTTTCAAGGAATTTGTCTATTTTATCCATGTCGTGGCATTTCTTTTCTTTTTCTTTTTTTTTTTTTTTTTTGAGACGGAGTTTCACTCTTGTTACCCAGGCTGGAGTGCAATGGCGCGATCTCGGCTCACCGCAACCTCCGTCTCCTGGATTCAAGCAATTCTCCTGCCTCAGCCTCCCAAGTAGCTGGGACTACAGGCGTGCATCACCATGCCCAGCTAATTTTTTTATATTTTTAGTAGAGACGGGGTTTCACCATGTTGACCAGGATGGTCTCGATCTCTTGATCTCGTGATCCACCCGCCTCGGCCTCCCAAAGTGCTGGGATTACAGGCTTGAGCCACCGCGCCCGGCCATGTCGTGGCATTTCTATCTGGTGTAATTAGAATAGTGTTCATATCAAAGTTCAGTTTCTCCATATATTTTCCTGGTAACTCTCCCTTTGGTGCTTTGAAGCAATATGGCATTTTGACTGGCTCCCATGGGCCCCACCTTTCCTCCTAGACTCAGCCCGTGACACCACCACTCCTCACTACCCTCTCATCTTCCCCCCACTGGTATCCGTCCAGCATTCCTCACCTGAAGAACTTAGGCTTTCTTACATCTCTCTTGTTAGCAGGAAACTACCTAATTCAAAAACCCACTCTAAGTTGCTTATCACTTAAGGGATTAGTCCTTCCAGGAGTATTTATGTTTCAGAAGAGAATGTCTAGAGAGGATTGTGCATAAGAAAAATAAGTCAATCTTTAATGGTGTTATTACAGGCTCTGTGACAAGTAGGGGAGGGAGGGAAGCGCTTTGGGAAATGGACTTTCCTCTCTTTCAAATATTATTCAAGTACGATTTTGCTCTTGTCACTCTTCTGTTCTAAGACTGTTTACAGGGAGTTCCCTTTGTCCTTTGGTCAAAGCAAAATGTTTGATACAGCCTTGCAAGATTCTGGCGCTTTTCGGAGCCATCGCACCCACTCATGACGCTCTGCTCTGGCCGACCTCTGTCCTGGCCCTCAAACTGTTGGACTTCTCTGAGAAAGCGATACGTGAGCTCAGATTTTAAGGATGAGGTGGAGAAATTCAAAGAGAGGGCATTTGCTCTGGAACTGAGGCTACCAAAGTGACCAAGAGAATGCATCCCTGTTCTCTGGGAGCTCAAGGTCTAGTGGTCTTATAGCGTGGAGTAAGTAGCACACTAACAGTGCAGCCAGTGACTAGGCAGGCAGGCTGACTAGAGAAGGCAACTCTCGCTGTGGATGTAGCTGGAAACCGGCTTTCTGCTTCAGGGTGCGGACCCGCCGCTGACCTTTCTTCCCTGAATTTCATGCACCTGCTACCTTCCAGAAGGAAGATCACCCTCTGCTTGGATTGGCTATGTGCCAAACCTCTGTCCACTCTAAAGGCTGGGAATGACGTGGTCTGCTTATTAAAAATCAGATTTCTGTATCCTAGGTAGGCTGCATGATCCGGGATGGAGTCTAGAAACATATAGGTTTCGCTATACGTTGCCCAGGCTGGTCTCAAACTCCTGGGCTCCAAGCAATCCTCCCGCCTCAGCCTCCCAAAGCGCTGAATTACAAGCCTGAGCCGCCGCACCGGCCTAAATGTACCTTTTAAACCAAGTACTACAGTAGATTCTTAGGCATGAAAGTTTGAGAGCCACGGTTGTGAGGGGCATCAAGCTGAAGGCCGGACGTTCTTGCGGCCCCCAGACCGAGCCTGGCCTTTGCATTCCCATCCTGGGCTTTTTCTCGGTGACAACTTTTCCGAGGCGTCGGGGCTTCCCTCGAGCGTGGCGACCCCGCGGGACGCGGTGTCAAGAGCCAGGCTGGGCAGCGGGGCGGGCGGGGGAGCGGCGGGGCTTGGGCGGTGGGCACCCTGGGACCGCGGGATTCGGGGACCACATCGCCTGGGGAGGAGGCAGGAAGAAGCCGAAGATACTTGGGGGGACGAAGAGGCCGAGCGACGGAGGGAGGAACAGAGTCCAGCCTCGCGCTGGTTCCGAGCACTGGGGACTCGCGGGGAGCGCAGGAGGCCGGGGGGGGAGGTTCGGGGCGGTCCCCGCGCCCTCCGCGCAGGGCGGGCGGGGCGCGCTGCCCTCAGGCCCTGGCGCTCCGATAACTCCGCGCCCAGTGCACCGCCGCATCATGGGGTCCCGCCACTTCGAGCTGATTTTTGACCACGTGGGGCACTACGGCAGGTAGGGGGCGGGGTGGGGAGGGGGCGCCACGCGGGAGGGGTCTGTTTCTTTCCGTTGCGGCGGGGTTCTAGCGCGGCGCTCGCGACCCGAAAACATCTCCACTCCCTCCTTCCCCCGCGCAGTCGGGACTCTGGCGTCCAGACGCCGGCCGGGAGCTGGGCTTGGCCCCTAGGACCGGCAGCGGGAACTGGCAGGTGAGCAGAGGCGCTGGGCTCGCTCGGGGCGCGCCTGTTGCCGGGGAGGTGGGACCTGGCGAGTGCTCTCCGTGGCCGCCGACGCTGGAGGCACCCCCGGAGGGACCGGATCGCACGCGTAGAGGGTGCCTGTGCCTGGCCGCCGGTTTCTCGAATCCGCTGCCACTTCGCTAGGCTGCTTGCTGTCCCGTTCCGCCCCGCGCCGCCTAGGGTCTCTGTCTGTGCCTGGCAGGTGTTCCCCAGGGACAACCGTTATTCAGAGTTGGTTGCCGTTCATTGAAACTTAATATGTGCCAGGTACACTATACCGGGCGCTTACACACAATTCAGAGGGACCCTGCCAAGGAGGTGTTCAAATCCTTATTTTCGTGATTGGGAAACTGAAGCTGGCGGGGTCAAGGGCCCATAGCCAACGCATGGTGGAACCACATTTAACCTCCGTACACCCTCTTTTCAATTGTCAAATGGATTTTAAAATTTTTAAATCATTCATTCATTCATTCATTCATTCACGTACCGAGCTCCTCTGTGTGACTCAGAGTGTTTTGAGAGGAGAGGCAGGCGGGTGAGGGGCCGTGTATCGTGATGGCCGGAGACTTGGAGCTGCATCTGATTCCTGGCCTGCTGCGTACCTCTGATGCGATTCTGGTGATACTTTCTGTCTCAGTTTCCTATGCAGAAAATGGGAATCAGGCTTAGTGAAGAGATGATGTGGTGCTGTTCTTCAAGGTGGAAGGTTGCCGGCATTTTGGTTTTGATTCCCAATGTCTGCAAAAAGGAACAGTTAGGACAGAGGAAAGGGGCAGGAAGCCCCAGCTCTTGCCTGCTTCCTTCTGCTGCTTGCATCATTGAGCGCTGCCTTGTGCCTGGCTCGGTCATAAGCCATTGGTACATGTTACTTCCTTTAATCTTCACTACAGCCTTATGATGTTGGTAGTATCACCCTTGTTTCACAGATGAGAAAACCAAGGTTTCTGCTTAAGCACAATTCTAATACTAGCAGGGCAGAATTCGATGTCATTGGATGCCCATCACCTCCGCAGCTCTCAACCATGATGCACTCCTGAGCACGGTTAGGTAGCGGCCCCTTGGCTGGGCCAGGCCCTTTATGTATGAGCTCATTTTATTCTTCTGGAAGCAGAATAGCACAGAGGTTAAAAGTTCTAAGGTTGGATGTCTGAGTTTCCCTTCTGGCGCTACCACACATTAACTATATGGTCTTGAGCATCTTATTTACCACTTTCTCATCTGTAAAATGGAGCTAATAATAGCAGCACAAATGTTTTCAAAGAGGAGTAGTGAAATGTTTCTATGAGGACTCAATGTGCAGTTTCTTATCCTCACAGTAACTCAGTGAGGTAGGAGGTGCTAACAGCTTAGCTCCCCTGTGTTTTTTAGGGATTAGCTGAGTTAATTATTTTAGTTGGTGTTTGACTAAGGTGCCCTATCAAACAGATTCCTCAACTGGAAGTTGGTACCTCTCCAGTAACTGCCCACAGCAGGATCTGTTCCACGAGGTCATTCAGGGACCCAGGCAGGTGGGGCAGATCTGTCATCCATGGCATGGAGCTCCCTGTCTGTGCTTGGGGCAGCCACTTCCCCATGGCGACAGCTCATCATGCTTAAGAGGGGGCAAATGGGTTTGAGGAGACAGCTCTTAGCTGGCCACCATAATGTATGCAAAAGTCTTACTATTCAGTAAGTCACGGCTATCATTGTTACCTGAGTTCCCGTATTAGTGGGCAGGGTTGATTGTGAAAGCAGCTTACAGGAGGAAAAAGGGTAACAAACCAATGCTTACATGGCAGAGGGTGAAGACAGCATGACTGTAATACAGTACCCCATTTTTCTCAGGTATTTGCTCGAATTGATCTCTATTCTTTATAAACAGAAAGGGAAGTTATTGTGATGATTATTTACTCCTCTCTTTAAGGAAACCTAGTGAAAGTGTTAAGTAGAGCAGTGGTCCCAACCTTTTTAGCACCAGGAACCATTTTATGGAAGACATTTTTTCCACAGACCTGTGGTGAGGTCGGTGGAATGGTTTCAGGATGAACCTGTTTCACCTCAGATCATCAGGAATTAGTTAGATTCTCATGGGGAGCATACAACCTAGATCCCTCACATGTGCAGTTCACAGTGGGGTTCATGCTCCCGTGAGAATCTAATGCACCACTGATCTGACAGAGGTCAAAGCTTAGGAAGTAATGCTGGGTGGCCGCCGCTCACCTCCTGCTGTGTGGCCCAGCTTCTAACAGGCCACGGACTGGTACTGACCTATGGCCTGGGACTTGGGGACCCCTAAAATACAGAACCCTGTTTTCCTCTCATTTCTCATTGGTCATTTCTAGAGTAAGGAAGCACTACTGTAGTCACCTTGAAGAGGGGAAAACAGGATACCTGAGAAGAATTAAAACAGCATTCCAAGATTGGTTCTGAAACCATATCATATTTCCATAAACTTCACAGCATAAGCCCCCTATGAAAGGAAATTGAGGAGACTGAGATTCAGGCATCTGTACTGGGAGAGTCTGAACCTGGATCCCTAACTTAGTTGTCCCAGGATAAAAGGAGAGACAGTTTAAAAGCTGAGAGTTGGAATGTGGAGCCTGTGGGAGACCTTCACTGATGGGTAGAGGTAGGTTTTGTTTTTGGAGATATAGAGCTTTGCTGGCTCTTCTTTTTTGACTTCAGCATATGAACATCCTAACAGCTACCACTTAGATACAGCTATGGTGTGCTTTCCAAGTGTTAACTCATTTCATTCCCACAAAGCCCATTGTTCAGATGAGGAAACCAAGGCACAGAAAGGATAAGGGTCTTGCTCATGGCCCCTGGTGGTAAGTAACAGGGCCAAGATCAAACCTTGGCAGTCTGGCTCCAGAGTCCATCCTCTTAACCACAATGGGCTCCATCAGTTACGCTTTTATGCAGAATGATATAATCTAGGACTGAAAGCAGTTTTCTTCATCTGTCACCCAGATTGCATGGGTCCACTACCTGGGGCTTCTGGCTGCCCTTGCTTTTCCTCACCTCTGGGTTTTCTGCTGATTATGTTTGTATGATTCTTTTTACATTAGTGTGTTGTATCTATAAGCCTGTTGTCCTGGTGGACCCTTAGGTTGGGTACATGAATGACACTTCTGAGGGCCAAGAATCTTTGTAAAGGAGAGAGTGATGTGTTAGAATGCTAGATGCCACTTTGGGAGGCCGAGGCAGGTGGATCACAAGTTCAGGAGTTCGAGACCAGCCTGGCCAATATGATGAAACCCCATCTCTACTAACAATACAAAAATTAGTTGGGCGTGGTGGCGGGTGCCTGTAGTCCTAGCTACTTGGGAGGCTAAGGCAGGAGAATTTCTTGAACCCAGGAGGCAGAGGTTGCAGTAAGCCGAGATCACATCACTGCACTCCAGCCTGGGTGGCAGAGTGAGACCTCATCTAAAAAAAAAAAAAAAAAAAAAAAAAAAAAAAAAAAAAAAAAAAGCTAGGCTGCTAAAGAAATAGGGTTTGGTTTTTTCAAGATGTTATTCTTGCAAAAAGGAAAGGGGAGTTAGAATTGAAGGAATGCTTAGGACTTTTCTAGCACATGGAAAGCATATTTGTGTGAACTAGCATGGCTTGCTTGGGGGCCACTTAGTGGTTTATTATTTCTGGGGTACAAAATATGAGAGTCAGAGAGGTAGGAGGTCACAGTCATCTCCACGAGTGTTTCTGTATGTCATGCTGCAGAGTTTGGTATCGAGTGGGGCAAGGGGGCCAGTGAGGACCCCGTAAGAGCCCAGGTGAGAGAGAAAGGGGTCTGCACAGTGGGAGCCTGGCCAGGGAGGACAGGACAGGGCCAGCAGGTGGAGTCGATGGGACCTCTTGGCCCTAAGACATGAAGGAGAAGCGAAAGGGACCACATGCCCCTCCTAGCCCACCCCATGTCCCTTGCCCCAGATTTCTAGTTTATGTGGGTGATGGTACCCTAAAGTCAGAAGGTTACCCTCCAGGCGGGGCAGGGCTAGATATAGAGTTCAGTTTGAGATTGCTTTACCTTGAGTTCCTTGTGGGAATTCCAGGTGGAGACATCCAGTGGGAAGGTGGGTAGATACTCTGTTGCTCAGGAAAAATGCCCCCTTGTCAATGTGGATCAGGTGGCCACCCAGGGCTGCAGTCCAGCTGGCAGGCGCCTTGTGGACAGATTAGGCATGGCTTGGCACCAGCTGTTCCTCGGCAGGGGTGTTGCTGAATACTTTTCCCTCTCCCTGGGCCCTGTAGATAGAAAACTTTTAAATTGATATATTACATATATGCAGAGAAGTGTGCACCATAATCTACGAGCCAATGAATCGTCATACAGTGAACGCACCCGTGTTACACCTGCCCAAGTCATCTCTTCCCTCCGTCCCTGTTCCCCAAGCTCACTATCGTCCCTACATCAACCATACTAAACGTTACATAAGTGGGGTAAAAAGCACGTGCTCTTTGGCTTCTTTTGTTCCACACTGTGTGTGTGAGATCCCATATTGTGTGTCACATTAGTTGGTCAGTTTTCATAGCTACATATTATTTAATGGCATGAATATTCTACAGTTTATTCATTTACTGTCAACAGACGTCTAGACTCTCTCCAAGTTGGGCGTATTATAATTTGCCTTTCTTGCATATGTCTTTTAGGGTACGGTTATTGTGTTGCTTAACGACAGAGATACTTCCCAGAAATGCATTGTTAGGTGATTTTGTTGCTGTATGAACATCACAGGCTGTACTTACACAAACCTAGATGGTGCAGCCTGCTACACACCTAGGCTCTGTGGCGTAGCCCACTGTTCCCAGACTACAAACCTGCACAGCATGTGATTGTACTGAATACTATAGGCAGTTGTAACACGATGGGAAGTATTTGTGTACTTAAACATGGAAAGCATACAGTAAAAATATGGTATTAATATTATCTTGTGGCACCACTCTTGTGGATGTGGCCATTCATTGACTGAAACCTTGTTTTGTGGTATGTGGCTTTACTTGTGCCTGCATTTCGCTGGGTATATAACTAGGAGATGCTGTCATGGGGCACGCATGTGGTCAGCTGCCAGATCATTTTGCAAAGTGGTTGTAACAAATGACACCCTCACGAGCTGTGTATTGGTTTTCCAGTTGCTCCACAATGATTGTCCAATATTTTGAATGTCAAACCTTGTATCATTATATGATTAAACCAGAAAACTAGATATCCTGGGGCAATGTTTTCATCCGTACCTGCATCTCCTAGGACGCTTCTTAGGCTTGTAGAGGCCTTGACCCCACTTTAGACCTCCTGCATCACAACTGCTAAGAATGGAGCAGAAAAGACAAATCCTAGCTTCAGAGGCCTGCCAGAGTGGGTACTGTGTTGGTGTGTGTGTGTGTGTGTGTGTGTGTGTGTGTGTGTGTACAAGAGAAAAAGAGACAGAGAGAAGGAGCGGGGAAGAGAGAATAGTTCTGGTGATGACTGTGGGGGTCAGGTGGCTGAGGAAGGAAAAATCTGAGACCAGGAAGGTAGCAACAAACTGAAGAAGCTGGTAGGATCTGAAGACTGGAGGTCTGAATGGTGCTGGAAATGGGGTCAGTGGGAAGGATGGGGACGAGGACAGGGGAGGTAAGAGGGTGGGAGGTGATGGTCAGAATGTGAGCTGTTCAATGGTGGAGCAGCTCCAGGTGATGAGACTAGCCAGGGAACAAACCCAAATGCCTCAGGTAAACTTTAGCCAAGTTAACCATGTCTGCTGTTTGCAGGGGCTGTGTCGTCGTTTGCTGAGTTGAAATTTCGGTGATGGGAGTCAAAGAATTATAAATATGTGTCTCATACAGACATGATTTATGTTCTATTTCTCATCATATTCATGTGGGATTATTATTATAGGATGCCTCTTAGGCCCTCAATAGAATTTAGTTTCAAGAGAACCTGATTCCCATGCCCCTTATTGCTGTGGTGTTTAGCGGGTAGACGCTGGTCCACCACAAGCCACACTGTAATGATCAAGATGGGCTGATTCTCAATCTGGTTTGGACCTTAGGAATGCTCCTTTAGTTAAACACTGCATGCCGCCCTTTCTCTCTGGCATCTCCTAGGAGTATCTATACTTTTATCTTACTTTCACCATAATTTCCATAACCAGTCTCCTGCCAATGGACATTTCAGTTTTCGATGTTTTGCAGTTATAGACAGTGCTGAACGTGAAATTTATAAATTAACTTTGTGAGAGATGATATCTTTGTGATGTTGACTACTGTTTACTTTCAGAGAAGTCAAGTTTAAGTATTACCAAGAGCAGACAGTGACACCCATTAGTGTAATGTCTTTTAGCAAAGCAGAGACACAGAGGTGCTTGAT